TGTGAAAAGTAACTGTTGTAAGTTTTGTTTTAAAGTCTTTCCCACCAGAGGGCTAAAGCCATGTGTTGTAAAACAATATGAAATAGTAGTCTGCCACTGAACGCCGGATGTAAAGCATCGGCTTTGATGAAGATAATTTTGTATTTTTAATTCTCTGAAGGGCGCCACCTTAATAATATGGAATTTGTAAAATAAATGTATATATTTTTGATTGTTGATGAAGCCCATCATTTTGTGTTTTCATCAGTGTTCAGAAGCAGAACAACTATAAGTTTTTTATTTTATCACAAAAATATAAAATGTATAAAAAACAAAGAAAAGAGTAAGAAAATGAGTATAGTCATAGAAAAAGTTAAAATTATAATATAGTATTTGTCAGTTAAAATAAAACTTTTTGTTTAAGTCATTGCTAACAATTCAAATTTCTCCGAGGCAATTCTAAAGTATAAATTAAGGTAGTATTGTTAAGTTGAAACACAATATTTTTAGTTTTGATGTCAACAATACAATTCAATTTTTCACAAAAACGATTGTTTCCATTGTTAAGTTCAATGTCAACAATTCAAATTTTTCTGAGGCAACTCTTAACCTCTAAATATTATTTTTTTTATGTACACATTTCTAAATGTCAGTATTCAACCACAAAACAACTTAAAGTCCTCAAATTTAGCATGAAGTTGTAAAATGTAATGAAAGAGGGTCATAGCAATAATGAAAGTAGAAGTAAAGTTAGTACTGTAAAATTAAAACAATATTTTTAATCAATGAGCCAAGTTCTTCAAGAAGCAGTTGTAGAAGTAGGTTGTTTATTTAAAACTTTTTATAGAATTTCTTTAAGAACACAATTGTTAATTTGGGCATTTGGCGATACAACACTTTTAGAATTGAAGGATTTGTTACGTCAAGCGCTCAGGTATCATAATTTTGATCTAGTTGCGCTTCTATGTCATTTTGATTTATGTTGTTAAGTTAACTTTCAAAAAATTCTATGGCTGGCAGCAGTATTTTTATTTTTTAAGTTGTTAATTTTCATTTCTTTTAGAATTCGTTATTTTTTTAGCGAAATGTTTTTTAACCTAACAGAATTCTTTGCCGACTGTTTTCTCTATGAATGAAGAAAATAAATTAAATTCTTATTTAGTTGTACAAAGTACTTCAGTCAAAATTTGGGAGCCACGTAAGAGAATTATATATATTAGATCAGAAACACATCATTAAAAGGCAGAATGCTTTGGTGTTTTTAAAACAAAGCAAACGTTGCCACCATCGGAAAAGAAATACAGTCAAAATTTGGGAGCCACGTAAGAGAATTATATATAATAGATTATTAAAGTTCATTATTCAATATCAGTAAGTATTAAACATTACTTACTACAGCATATAGTTTTTAATTTTTGCTTATTATATATTATAGAGTATTCAGTTTACTACACATTTTTTACTTAATGCACATTACCGGATTGCTAATTGTTTTTAATTTATTTATCAAACCCGTTACCACCATTCTCATTTTTTAAAATTGTTTACTACACATTACAGCATTGCCAATTGATTTTAATTTATAATTCCTTTGTTTATTACATATTGCTGCATTTTCAATTAAAAAAATGTTTTTTAAAATTTTTTAAAGATGAAAGTGATGCAGGTGTAGAAATAACCTTGTTTTATTAATATTACTTAATAAGGAATTTACTTAATTTTTACAATTTCATTTTAAAGCAGTTTTTTCTGTAATAATTGAAAAAAAAAGGACATTTGCATATTGTCGAAGTTTTATAAGAAATTCACAAATCCTATTTATCATATTTTCTGTTTGAAAAATCTCATTTTTTTAAATTAAGACAAAATCAAATTACTTAGGTGGTTTTGAATGCACTTTAGAAATTTCGCTTTCTTAATTTTGTTTCTGGCTTTAGAATGGAAAGAGTTAAAAAGAATTACAATAAAAATTTATTTAAAATTCTTTAGAAGCTTTGTATTTTTCGTTCCCTTTATTTCTTGTTCTTAATTTAAGTCAGACAATAAGGAAACGCGAATATTAAATAATCTAATAAAACTGGGCTTCCGGAAAAAAGTAAAATCTAATAAAACGCATGACTGAAAATCGAATTTAATACAAACTCGACATTTTCTTTTTCTCTTAAATATTTTTTTAATTTTGCCCCTAATACAGTTACCGATATTGTTCTAAAAAATATTTTAGTTTCCTTAAAATAACCGTTGCTGAATGATGGACTTAAGCCTAAGAGATTAAGAAATAAAATGTCAACGGGCTGAGGCAATATCACACTCTCTAACTACAACGGAAATATAAAATACCGATGCAATAATATTTTAATAAATTAAAAGAATTTGTCTACTACTAAGCAGATATTTGAAAGGATTCAAATTAATTTAACCCATTTATGCTCAAGCACAAAAAGCGGTCCATATATGAAAAACTATTATTTGAAGAAAGTAGTAGTACAAGTTTATACCAAATGGGTATTTTTTTTGTTACCTAATGCTCTAATTTTAAAAATGTAATATACCTTACTTATTTTGTATCTCCAATTATAAACATTAAATTATTAATACATTATGGTGGACAGAGCTACCTTAGTTCTGCGGAATTAATCCTAGCAATAGAACATTTGTGCTACCACTTTTTTCTTTTTAAGAGAAAAGTAAGATTTTTTTTCAAAAGAACGCTATGTTCAAATTGAATTTAGCCCTTTGACTACTAACGGGTCTCGTATTTGTCCCAACAAAAGTCTATCACTACAGGTGGGACATATGTGTCCCAGCCTCTAAAATGATATCCGCTTGTCAGAAAAATCCCAAATACTAAATTTGTCTTATTTGTGACCTATTTTGTCATATTGAATAATAAACGGGACAAAAAAAATCACTTTTTAAAATTCGTAGTCAAAGGGTCAAACAGATGTAGTGAAGGTCAAATGAAAAAATTGTCATACTCTTAATCTCTGAGAATTTTATTAAAAAAAACTATTAGTTTCAAAAATTTCTTGTTGATTTTCTAAATAATCAGATTTTCTCTTTTCAGGGTAAACTGAATTCTTCATTTAACTTTTTATTTTTTTTTCAATTTTTTTAAAAATTCTATTTTGTATATTCATAAAGATGTTGGCATTTCTTTTAAAATGTGAGTTTTTATATATATTTGCAAGGTTTTAATTCTTTTCTCAAATTTTTTTTTAACGAAAATCATTTTATAATTGAAAGGAAAAAAAGATGGATTATAACGCATAAGAAACGCGTCGAAGTAACTGAAACAAACATTGACAGATTTTAATTTGTCATAAAATCTCTCTTACCAATAAAGTATTCTCCATAAAATTTAAAGTAATACGAAATACATTCCTATAGTAAAAAAAAAAGAAACTAATTCTTAATAATTCCATAGCAAAATTTAATATTCTTTCCGCGTCACGAAATTTGGGATAAGTATTATTAACCATATTAATATTTATAAGCAAATTCCTGAATGCTCCTCATGCTATTTACCGAATCCCGTTATCGTTACAGATTTATTTTAGTGTCTTAACTTGAATCGATCATGCGATTGGTTTGCGCAACTATATGCTTAAGCGCAAGCAGTGACGCAAATTCACAGTTACACATATCTTGTCCAGTTTTTATGGTTCATTAGAATCTATTTAGTAGTCATGTGGGGAAAGTTTAGGCCAAGCAATAGAGTTGGTATTGCATTTTGAATAATTGATGGCTCCTCTTGTGGAGCCATTATACGTGTAGGCACTGTTTCGATCAAAACTTTCACTTCTTGGCGATCATGAATTTCGGACTTCGGGTAAATAAATTACCGATTGTTTGAAAAGCGTGTCTACAAGATTTGTCTAAATAAATATATTAAACCATCTTATGACGGAGTGAATTGCTATTTAAAAACCGGCCACAAGTTTCATTAAATATTATCTAATTAATTTAACGCTTAATTTCAAATCATTAAGCTTTTTTGATCCTTTGGCTACTAACGGGACTCATTTGTTCCAACAAATGTTTAAAAATTACTAATCGGGTGAAAAGCACTTAGAAACTCATTGTAATATGTCCCAGTCGTAGAGTCGGTACAGGTTTCATGTGTCAAATATCTCCTAGATGGCGCTACTTAGATGGAGCTAAAGAGTTTCTTTTATGAAATAGCATTGCGATTTTGCGCTAAGACAGATATATTTCACTAGTCATGTGTCAAATATCCCCTAGATGGAGCTACTTAGATGGAGCTAAAGAGTTTCTTTTATGAAATAGCATTGCGATTTTGCGCTAAGACAGATATATTTCACTAGTCATGTGTCAAATATCCCCTAGATGGCGCTACTTAGATGGAGCTAAAGAGTTTCTTGCATGAAATAGCATTGTGATTGTGCGCTGAGACAGATATATCCCACTAGTATTCTTCATTGGGGCAGATATATCCCACTCGTATTCTTCATTGGGATCGTTATGTCCATTCATATTTCATTCATATTTTCTCAAATGAACATAGAGAAAAGAACAAATATGAGTTGTCCAATGTGTAATGTCAGGTTATGCAAAGATTGCTTCACCCTGTGTCATACCATGCAAAAAAAAGTCCATATAATAAATTTTTCCGGAATAATAGATGTGCTTGTAGTAAGTCGATCACTACAGGTGGGACATATGTATTCCACCATTAAGTACGTCCGGGACATACACTGCTGGACAATTGCTAAGGACGGATCACAAATTGCAATGTAGCATAACATTAAGCGAGACATGAGGCCTAGTAGGATAAAAGATAGTTGCCACACTGTTCAGACATTAGAATAAAGAATATTCATTTTTCTGGAAAGTACAAAAGCTATGAAACATCTGAAAGAAAAAAATGTTCATTTGATGCTGCGTACGGAGAAATGGAACAATGCATCTAAATGTCAACAGGCAACCTGAAGAAAGGTGTCAGTACGGGCTATGTCTACCGTGGAGTGTGATGCAACATTCTACACGTCGTATCATACTTTGCACAACATTATCCAGCAGCTGTTGAGGCAATTTATCCCATTCCTCTGTTAGTGCACGGATGAGGGTGTCCTTGTTTGTCGGAGGATAGTTTCGACCAGCAAGTTGCCTCCCCAAAGCATCCCAAACATTTTCAATGGGGTTTAGATCTGGAGAACGTGATGACCATACGAGGCGTTGAATACCCTCGCTGTCTAGACAATCCTGAAGAGCGAGTGTTCGATGACATGTTGCGTTGTCGTCCATAAAAACAAATTTATCCCCGACAGCTCCACGGAAAAGACGAGCATGAGGAAGTAGAACTTAATCAATGGATCGTTGGCCCATCATAGTTCCATTCGCAACCACATGTAGGCGCGTGCGGCCATTGATCATGATGCCGGCCCACACCATGATACTGCATGTCGAATATCGGTCCCTTTCCTGGATATTTTCTGGACGATAACCAGTACCACTCTCGTGCCAGATCAGTTGGCGTCTACAATCCAATGATAGACTGAACCTACTCTCATCTGAGAATAGTACGCATACCCAGTCTTGTTCAGTCCAATTGTGATGGTCACGACACCATTGCAAACGGGCAGTACGGTGCTGTCTGGTCAATGGGACACACACTACAGGTCTGCGGGCGTATAGTTCTTCTCCCCTCAAACGTCTGGCAACAGTGTTTCGGGAGATCTGCTTTCCTGTGGCAGCACGAAACTGATTTGCCACCTGCTGAGCTGTGGCGCGCCTGTTCCTTTTTGCTGATAGGACGATGTAACTGTCTTCTGCAGGCGTCGTACTTCTAACACGTGCCTACTACACATTCCAGTAGTTTTAAATGATTTCCACAGCCGCGAAACAACGCTGTGAGCGATGTCGAACTCCCTGGCAACATCTGTTATTTTTCGCTCTTCTTCGATCTTTCCAATAATTCGGCCACGCTTAAAATCATCTAAGTGATATCGGGAAGACATGCCGAAAATTTCAAGTTCGTCAACTAAATCTTTCCTGTAAAACTTTGATTTGAAGCAACAACTCTCCACTCGCGTCAGAACCTGTAAAGTTCTTATTAGCGCTATCACGTGATGAACAGACGTGGAAAAAAAAATTTGCATACGCATACCTCTTCCTACTATATCCCGCACTTATTCTAATTTTCCACATTTTGCTTCCTTTCATTTTGTGGTTGCTATGGATGATAGTGTTATCCGTCCTTAGCAATTGTCCAGCAGTGTATATGTCCCAGCCTCTAAATTGATAACCGCTTGTCAGAAAAATCCCAAATACTAAATCTGCCTTATTTGTGACCTATTTTGTCCTTTTGAATAATAAACGGGACAAAAAAAAATAATTTTTTAAAATTCGTAGTCAAAAGGTTAAATAGCTAAGAGTGGAATTTAATTCTTGAAAACTTCCGAAGGGTGCGGAATTAAAATCACCAATGACGTGCATACACGTCAAATGAAGGTCAAATGGACGAAGGGCAATATATACATCAGGGCTGAAAGCCTACCAAGACGGAAAAGAGCAAAAACTGGTAAGAAAGGCATTTAATTCTAAAATTTTTTTTCGAGAAACATTAGATTTCTGTAACTACCGAGATTTTTTTAGAATTATAGGATATATACAAAACTCAGGGATGCCAACTGCTCCGCTTTCTGGAATAGTTTTAATAATGTGGTATCAAATTATATAGTAAAATTCGCTTAAGAAGGATAGTTACGCCTACTTTTTAATAGAGTATCCAGTAGATTGATGGTAAAACGTTGCACTTTATAGGATACTTGTAATTTTTTGTATTTAGTGGTGAAAAAATTACTTAAAATGAAAAATACTAAACTAAAAGTAACTTAAATTTCGCTACCACTAGAAAATACTATTTTACAAAGCGGAACAAGTTGGCATCCCTGAAAACTGTTTCGTTCCTTTGAAAAAGTAGATGTTAAATAGTTTGAAAAAGAAAACAGGTTTACTCCTCCCTAAAAACGTGTTAAAACTGAAAAGGTTTTACTACCAGCTTATCTTCTTTTCCGTCTCGCTTTCACCTATGCAATGTGGGCCAGAAGACCATGGTCTTTGGCCAAAAGTAAAAAATTAAATTTTCAACTAAAATATGTGTAGGCAGTTTTAATATAGCCCAAATTTTGTATTCATAATCATTCCAAACATTATAATTTACTTTTTGGACCGACGAGAGTACAATGTAATGAAAAATATGTAATTTTTTTTTTTAAATGGAACTTTAAAATTTTTATTTCAGAAATATATATAGGAATTTCACCTTACTGTTACATTTTTATCAGAGTAATTAGTCTGAAATTATAGTACAATTTTTCAATTTGTTGGATTAGTTAATACTCGTGACAAACTTATGGTTTATATCTTATCATGTGACATTTTACAATGTTTGAATGACTTTCGAAACTTGGCTTAAAAAAGTTCCACGAGGTAATTAGCTAAAATTTTTTTGTTGTCTTCTTTGATGTTTCTTCTTTCGAAAAAACCTGCCCCGTTTTGCCAGTATTGCAAAGGTGGACTAAATATACCGAAAAACAAAAATTATGTTTTTTTCATGTTTTCGCGTTATTTTGTATTATTACTTCGGAAATATAATTTGCTTTTCATTTTTAATATAAAATTACGAAAATTATTATATTTTCATTGCTATATTTAATTTTTTTAACGTACTATATTATTTTTTTTATTTTTGCTCGCCATATTTCAGCCGTCATTTTGTATTTTTGGGTATTTTTAGTGTATTTCAAAATTTCAGCTATGAATTCAATTTACCTGCACGTAAAAACCCCTAAATAACCCCCCCCCCAAGTTTTGAAACAAATTTTATCGAAATACTAATTTTGGCCACAAAACCTTGGATGCTGACCCACTGTGCTATGATAGAAACGTAAGTTAAATTAATTAATTATGAAACGTATTAATTTTTTGCGTTTTCCCCTCGTTTTATCCTTTTTGTGCTAAATATATATTATATTTGAAAAAAAAAATGTAAATTAAAATAAATTACCTGACATAAATCCAACTAATATCGTAGGAAAAAAGAAACCATTGAACTGGTATCAAAAACACTGTACAATAGAAATACTTATAGAATTAAAAGTGGAAATTGAAAGCACTGACAACATAACAAAGTCATCAAGAAGGAGACATTACCATGCTGTCAGTGCAGAAGCAGTTTCTGCAATAGAGGGCAAAATACCACAAACAATCATAGAATGACCACCAGAGAAAGAATAATGAACACGAAATAAAAACAAGTCAATGGTAATATACTAGGATCTCGAAAATCGAAGTAGAAACAAATATATTCGACTGATAGGAAACTCGATTCTTCAGACTCGATTCGACTAGAGTCAAACACAGCAGACTCAAGTATTAAATTAATTTATATTCCACAATGGAAAAACCACAAAACTACAAATGAAATATCTAAAGTTATGAGTATTGGAAATTCTGAATTATTCCCAGGCACTCAATTATGTTTCAAGGTGATCCAAATTTGGCTTTATGGTATCATTATTTCCATGCGCTATGGAGAGGTAGTAAGGAAAAATGTCGTTAACAAGGGAATCAGCATTCAAAACAAGATTACAGAGCATCAAGATGAGCTGATGTGATTGGCGTGAAAATAATTTTGGCATTGTTGAAATTGAATTCATTACTAAGATTTCAACAATGTGCAGCAATTAATGATTTCTCGTATTTCTTTTTATAATATAATTATTTCTACCGTGTTCCTTAAGTATAAATTTCAAAGTGAGTCTAGTTTATCCGATGTTGAAAGGTCACACTGACAAGGTATGTTGTAAATGCCCCAGCGATTATCAGAACTAATATGGTGTAACGTATCAAGCTATAATACGAAACAGTTCTTTGTTTTATTCAAAAAACATTTATTTCACACCACAACAAATACAGTAACAAATATAAAGTACCCGTAACTGGATAGTTAAATCTTATAAAACAAACTAGAAAAAGTGCCCGTAGCGGGATATATGAAAACTCACCCGTAACGGGATAGATAAAATATTATAAAACAAACTAGAAAAACCAGTAGCGGGTTATAAGAATACTCAAATTCCCAAACAAACTAATATCTAAAAAAAACCCCAACAGCTCTGTTGTTCTAAAAATTGTTATTCTAATTTTATCGTCTGCTTTTATTTTATTGTTTATCTTTTTATGTGTTTATTTTATTTTATTCATGCTTTTGCTAGCCCGTTATTTTTTAATATTTCTACTTTTATTCATGCTTTTGCTAGCCAATTATTTTTTAAATATTTGTAGACTTTATAAGGGTCTTAAAGAAAATAATTAATTTCGTTGAAATGACTAAAAGTGACTTTAAAACCAAAACAGGTAATTATTAGGATTTTTAAAACTATAGTCAGAAAATAAAAAACGGTAAAGTAACAATATCTCTGCAAGGATTAGAGAAAAAGGGGCGTATAGTTCTAGTGAGTTTAGCAAGAGCTGAATCTACCATAGGAGGGTTAAATCCACGGTTAGCAGCAAACGAGAGGAGGAAGTTAAGTTCGGAGTTTAAAGAAGAGTCTGAGCAAAGGTTTATTAATTTGAAAACAAAATTATAAAATGCTGAAATTTTCTTAAAATTAGGATAATTAGAATTGCTACGAGGGGGAAAGAGACAGCAAAATGTTCCGCGAATTGAGTGTTCCGCGTCTAAATTAAATTGAATGTTGGGATAAACTGAGTTGACAATAGTAAATAACTCGAAATTAAAATTTCAAAGTTCAGAAAAAGAAGTTTTTGTATTGTTTAATAATTATGTTTTTTGAAAGAAGTTGAGCATGTAGTTTAATTGAATCAAACAGTTTTTTGATTTACATAAACGAATTTTGAGAATGTTGTTTAGTCGATAGTGTCTATTTTATAAAGAGTGGTGCAAGTTATAATTGATGGCATTTTAAAATTTATAATAGGAATGCGGTCAAGGTTACAAAAACTCCTCTAAAAGTACATAATTTTTTCCAAATGTTCGATGGTTCTTTAAACGTTTTCTGCACATAGCACTGCAAGCAGTGACCTTGTAATTCATAAGGGAACAAATAAAAATTTATATTACAAATTTTCAAAATATATTAAGGAATGAAAATCACTTATTGATCTTTTCGAATTGTTAAGAATAGTTACGAAATCAGTAACAATCACATGCCATAATCGTAAAAAAGAATTAAAGATCAAAACAAAATGGAATAAAAAAAATAATGTAAAAAAAAGAC